ACATGTCTATTTTTGTTATTTATAATTTCTTAAAAGTTATGACCAATTTCTTAACATGTCTATTTTTGTTATTTATAATTTCTTAAAAGTTATGAAACTACTCTATTTATTTTTTCACATAGCCGCAATTTTTGACCAATCAAAGCCGTAATTATTAATTAGTCAAAACCGTAACTATTGACCAATCAAATCCGATCTTGACCATATGAAAGATTATATATATATATATATATATATAGATATGTGTGTGTGTATGTGTGATCTTTTATTAATCAATTCATTTGTGTTAACTATATCAACTCTTTAGACCAATAAGAATCATTCTAGTACCATATATCATAGATTCCTATGTAATTAATGATCGGGGAAAAATAGTAAGGTTATATTTTATATTACTTTAATGCATTTAAATGGGAGTTACATTATTCCTTAAATTTAACCATTTTGAAATTATCAATTTGTTGCAAGTTATATTGTTTGTGATTGTTCATAAAGAATGTATTTTGAGAAATAACCAATAACACTTCAACAATCAGCATTCTTAATCGAACGAGTTCATTGTATCTAATGTATTGTATAATATGGATGATCAACATTAACAAAATAACAGTCAACATGCATAAACATGCACTCACTGTTCAATAATGAACATTGTTCACATTGACAACTTGTTCATTGATGAACATATATGTACAACATTCAGTTGTACGTTCACTAACGAACATGTTCATATATGTTATATTTTCATAGGTGAACAATATTCATAAGCTACACATAAATAACAACTCTTCATTAGTTCACATAATTCATAAGTTACATATTACATATTAATAAATAAAATAATAATTAAAGCTTGGTGTCCGTTTCAACTAAGGATGGTGGTGCCCCGACCCGGTGTTAAATGTTTTATTTTTTGTTTAGTGTTAAATGCATACTTATAAACTTAAGAATAAAAGAAATAAAACATATAATATATTGTTCGCTTTGTTTGTAGTTTTATTACAAACCGATACAATTTATGTGGTTTGAAACTTTTGCAAGCAAAAACCAAATCATGACACTATAAAATGACTCCAACTAAGGATGGTGATGCCCCGACCCGGTGGGGCACCCGGCTCATCCGATCTGAATGGAGACGGGGATTCCCCGCTAAAACGGGTCCCGGGGTCGGGGCTGAGGTCCCCTGTAGACTCAAACAGGGGCCGAGGATCCCCGGTAGACTCAAACTAACATATATTTTTCATAGGGTTTGACCGGGAACGGAATGTTAATCCCCGTACCTGCCGAAGCCCGGGGTCGGGGGCTATTACTAAAAACCGGGCGTAGGGACGGGGATTACAAAACCCGCCCCATTACCATGCCTAACTCCAACTAGTAGATTCAAATTCAATTTGCTTTGATATTACGGTTCAAATATTTTGTCGTACACACCCTTTGTGGCCACAATCGTAGCATAGGGCTGTAGCTTTGACTTTTTAACTGCTAATCGGGATCATTGTATGTTATAAGTTTTATCTGAATTAACTTTAAATTTATAAAAAAGCGTATTTAAATATAAAAATATATGTATGTTGTCAAAATTCAATTTCAAAATTTTGTAGTCAATGATTTAGATATATTACTGGTTTTATGACTAACAAACATCAAACTTGAATAATTCATATATGAATCTATTAATTTAAAAGTTGATTTTGAAGCTTTGAAATCTGATGTTTTTGAAAATTTCAAACATGTATGACTTTTCGATGGACGGGCGTTTTAGCAACCATCAACACCCAAATAAATGCAATCTATTTTCCAATTTTCACCTTAAAACATATGTTTTTATTATAATTTGCGTAAAAAGTTGATTATCAGTAACTCTAATCAGCTCCACATAAAACCTGCTTCAAAAAGATTTTTACGTTTCTTCTATACATAACGTGTTGTATGTTTTTTTGTGTAAGGTATTGTTTTTTAAATATTTTATTCACTACTAGAAAACTGGCTATTTCCGGCTGAAAAATCCGCCGGAAAAATAGCGGCGAATTTCTGGCAACCAACAAAAAAGGTCAACCTCCGTTGACTTCCGTCGGAAAAACGTCGCTATTAATATTCCGACATTATTTTCGGCGGATTTCCGACGGATTATACAAATTAAATATTTAAGAAATTATTAACTCTAATTACAATAAGTTACCGGCAGATTTTCGACGGATTTTTGATTAATTTTTTTAAGATTAACGTCCGTCGGTAATCCGTCGAAAAATAATTAAAGATTAAAATCTATTATTTTAAATACCGATGGATGCCGGTAATCCACCAGTAATTTAAAATAATAAATTCTTCAAGATTTAATAAAAAATACATGTTATTGTTTTCTGGCGGAAAAAATGACCAGTTTGGTAGTATATTTCTTACAAATAAGAGTTTAGAATCATAAGAATGTTATTTTTTTCCATGATAAAATAAGACTTAAGAATTCAGAACCTTTTGTCGTCATATTATTGAACAACATATAAAATCATGTCTTATTATATAGTTTCATATTGTCCTCATATTTACCTAAAACCAGAACAAAAAATTGGAACCCTAAAATACAGAAAGCAAATAACAAACTTGAGCTTCAAAACTTGTACCTAATGATGGAACATTTGAGAACTGAATGATTCAATAATCTGATCAAATAATATTATTATGGTTCAGATCCAATAAGTACATCAATTCGCCTCTTCATTTTTCTGTGAAATAAGGGACCACAGGCTGGGTTTAAAAACCGTGTGATGGGTGACTATTCAACATGGTTCGGTAAAAACACAAAACTTAGTACTCTTAAAACAAATACCAACACTTTTATTGATTTAAAAATAATTAAAGTATTTTTTTGATATATTTTAATTAACTAGAGGGGCATTCGTGTAATGCAGCGAGATACATCTTCATTTTAATTTTTTTTTAATGTTTTTGTCTTTGTTGATATATAATACGGTTTATGTGGTTTTGATAAAGATAATGTTTTTACTTTTAAATAAAAATATATTTAAATATATCATAAAATTTTGAAAAAATATATCGATATTAATATCAAATTAACTATTTAAAAGTTCTCATTTTTTATACAATTTATTTAATTCAATTTTTTATTATAATTTAATTTAGGTCTAATAGCGAACTAATTTATTTTTGGCTTGACAATATAATTTTTACACAAATAATAATTTTATTAGAAGTCAATGATTATCCTAATTATACTTTATATTTTTTTATATTTAAAAATGATATGTTTATCATGTATTTGATTATGTTTATCTGCGATTAGTTATACAAATTTAAAAATAAAACTTTAATAACTTGTACTTACGCATAATTAATTTTTAATCTTAAATTTATGTTTTCTTTTTGTTGCTAATAGCTTTTATTGATTTACAAATAAATAAAGTATTACGTTTTTTTATACATTTTAATTAATATTTGTTTTTATTTATTTAATGCTAAAAGATTCTTAATTTCGTTAAATTAGATTATTCTTACATTATTCATACAATTAATTTACAAAAACAATCAATCTTATTTATTTTGTTTTCAGACCTCAACAACATCTCTTAAAAAAATATGATAAAAACTTCAAAATTAAACACCTCTTAAAAAACTAACAACACTTATTGACAACCAATGAATTCTAAATGAGATCTGACCAACCACAAAGAGTACAGTTCATTTA